CAACAGTGTTTTTTTTCTGTCAGTTAATTATCAATTCTTCTGAATATAGATTGTGTAATTTCCCAAAAAAAAATGCACTAACATCGTAAGATTCCTAACTAAATACACTGACTTATCTCTTTGTAATCGTCCGAACTATTTTGATACGAATGATGTATTAACATTTATTTACATTTCTAAGCTGAATATCGACTATCGAGATAATGTTTATGATGTATATATGACATATTTGCATATTCTTATTTCTAGAAGTTAAAGGAATCAAATCTTGAAAGGAAACAAAGAAGATCGAAAGCATAGTAATGCACGTGGTCCATGTGAATTAAACTGATGAACTGTCCCACCTGCCGTCCAATATGATTGATTATAGGGATTAATTTTTATTAATATTAGTATAATTCAATATCATTATATATCATCACTCTTATGTATGATATTATCATTTACTATACAATAATACTCACGAGAAACATTTACTATAAAATAGTACAGTATCTGATTTTGATGTAACCTAAACTTTAAGATAAATAATACGATGGACAGCTAATTGAAGATAAACATAACAAATGAAAAGGATTGAATATGTTTTTGGCGTGACCAGTGAGTGGGATTCCTCCTTCTGCACTCAATCTTCATTTTAAGCTAGTATTACTTTAAACATGTAATTATTTTTCAGATTTAAATTTTTAAAAGGGAAAAAAAGAAAGAAAATATAACTAATATAAGGAAAAATATATTATCACATATTCACATATATAGCAAAATTTCAAGTCTATGTGATCGTAGTATTTGTTTTCAAGGCATCATTGAATTTATCACAAGACAATGTAAATCTGCAAGAACCCAAAAACATAAATTTAGTTTTTTTTTGTTATTCGTAAGAAAGAATTTTAGAAAGATATACTCTTTGTCTTAATTTTATTGTTTTATTTTTGGTTTTTAGGTAAAAGGTTGGGAGTAATGGGACCACATTGGTGGCATGTTGTATTATTGTGATAAATATAGGGGTTTTTTTTGCAAAAATATCACTTTTTCGATGTTATTTTTCAAAAATACTCATTTTTAAAAGTCTTATAAAAAATACTCTTAAAAATATAAGATTTACCTAAATATGTATATAATATTATTATAACATACACAAACTACATTTCTATGTATCTAAAATCTTATAAATACTTTATAAATACCTTATAAATGCATTTTAAATACCTTTAAAAACCTTTAAAATATCTTGTAAAACCTTTGAAAAACCTTAAAAATCCTTTAAAATAATTTGTAAAACCTTTAAAAACACCTTATAAAACCTTATAAATACTTGGATCGAGTCTTCAAGTAGTAGTTACAATCCATAAGTACCTTATAAACCTAATAAAACTTTATAAAAATTTCAGATTTAAAAAAAGGCATTTTTTAAAATGGACATCTAAAAAGAGCATTTTTGAAAAGAGACACACCAAAAAAGATATTTTTAACAATTTCTCATGGAGGAAAAGATGCCAAATGATTTATGTTATTCACTCACCTAATCCTTGAATTATTGTTCTAACTTAAAATATAAAATTTTAATATTTTAAAATAAACATAACAGTGTTAGCATGTGTTCATCGTGAAATGTGAATGTAACTAAAAATATTATAAAGGGTTTCTTCCTTTCTGAAAGCATATGCTAATAATAGCATTTGGTCAAATAAATAAATTATTAGTTTATTTATTCGTCAACAAATTAATCAGTTAAGCAGACAAGAATCATTTTTGAAGATTAACTCCCTTGCATTTCACTCTCTTGTAATTTTACGTATGAAGACAAACACATTTTTTTTTGTTTTTGTAAATTGTTTATTAGCCACGAGTCACGTTATATAGATATGCAAATCTCAAAATTAATCAAACTAGGACAGCAGTATTTGATAATTGAGATTATAAATTTAAATTTAGACAAAAAAAAAAGATTATAAATTTAAATTTGATATTTCAAAATAAGTAATTAACCTGATATAAAAATATATAATTACAGTCAAATTATTTTTTTAAAAAGAATAGAAATCTTAAAATTGTCATATTATTCTTTTTTTCTTAAAAATTCGCAAATTTGACAAAACGACAAATCTTTTTAAATCGAAAAAATAGGTGAAAAGTTATTGTAAAGTGTTTCCACTGAGCTCACAGTTCACTCTTTGGTTCTAAAAGAAGCAATCAGTTAAAATCTCAGCCAATCATTAAAAGTGCGTGTGATACACGCGCGACCAAACAATCGTACGATCTCACTCACTTCTGGTCTTAATTCTTACCGCGTCGATCCAACAGTCGATGGGTTAAATCGGGATGTGAGTTCATCGAAGCTTCTCTTTCTCTTACAACCATCCACGTGTCCCAATCAACATCCGCCATGTAATATCCTTAACACTAAAATTACTTACTTACCCTCGTTATCAGTTACACATATAATAATCGCAGATGCTCTACATTTTCCTCCACTACGAAGACTTTCTCCTCTCCCTCTAAAAACGTTTTTTACCGGTCACCGGTTTATGGAATGACTGATTACCGGCTACAACCAACGATGAATCTCTGGACCACCGACGATAACGCTTCTATGATGGAAGCTTTCATGAGCTCTTCCGATATCTCAACTTTATGGCCACCGGCAACGACCACGACGACGACTACGACTACGACGACAACATCAACTCCGGCGACGGCGATGGATATTCCGGCACCGGCGGGATTTAACCAGGAGACTCTTCAGCAACGTTTACAAGCTTTGATTGAAGGGACACACGAAGGTTGGACCTACGCTATATTCTGGCAACCGTCGTACGATTTCTCCGGCGCCTCCGTGCTCGGCTGGGGGGATGGTTATTACAAAGGTGAAGAAGATAAAGCAAAGCTGAGACAGAGATCGAGTTCGCCGCCGTTTTCTACTCCGGCGGATCAGGAGTACCGCAAAAAAGTGTTGCGTGAGCTTAATTCGTTGATCTCCGGTGGTGTTGCTCCGTCTGATGACGCCGTTGATGAGGAAGTGACGGATACGGAGTGGTTTTTCTTGGTTTCGATGACGCAGAGCTTCGCTTGCGGTGCGGGATTAGCGGGGAAAGCGTTTGCAACGGGTAACGCGGTTTGGGTTTCTGGGTCGGATCAATTATCCGGGTCGGGTTGTGAGCGGGCTAAGCAAGGTGGAGTTTTTGGGATGCAGACTATTGCGTGTATTCCTTCGGCGAACGGAGTTGTGGAAGTCGGGTCAACGGAGCCGATCCGACAGAGTTCGGATCTTATTAACAAGGTTCGAATTCTTTTCAATTTCGACGGCGGAGCTGGAGATTTATCGGGTCTTAATTGGAATCTTGACCCGGATCAAGGTGAGAACGACCCGTCTATGTGGATTAATGACCCGATTGGAGCACCTGAATCGAACGAACCGGTTAATGGAGCTCCGAGTTCTAGCTCCCAGCTTTTTTCAAAGTCTATACAGTTCGAGAATGGTAGCTCAAGCACAATAACCGAAAACCCAAATCCGGATCCGACTCCGAGTCCGGTTCATTCTCAGACCCAGAATCCGAAATTCAATAACACTTTCTCCCGAAAACTTAATTTCTCGACGTCAAGTTCTACTTTAGTGAAACCAAGATCCGGCGAGATATTAAACTTCGGTGATGATGGTAAACGGAGCTCCGTAAACCCGGATCCAAGTTCTTATTCGGGTCAAACACAATTCGAAAACAAAAGAAAGAAGTCTATGGTATTAAACGAAGATAAAGTCCTATCATTCGGAGATAAAACCGCCGGAGAATCAGACCACTCCGATCTAGAAGCTTCCGTTGTTAAAGAAGTAGCAGTAGAGAAACGTCCAAAGAAACGAGGAAGAAAACCAGCAAACGGTAGAGAAGAGCCACTAAACCACGTCGAAGCAGAGAGACAAAGACGCGAGAAACTAAACCAAAGATTCTACGCGTTACGAGCGGTTGTACCAAACGTTTCGAAAATGGATAAAGCTTCGCTTCTTGGAGACGCAATTTCTTACATCAACGAGCTTAAATCGAAAGTAGTCAAAACAGAATCAGAGAAAATCCAAATCAAGAACCAGCTCGAGGAAGTGAAACTCGAGCTCGCCGGAAGAAAAGCGAGTGCTAGTGGTGGAGATATGTCGTCGTCGTGTTCGTCGATTAAACCGGTGGGGATGGAGATTGAAGTGAAGATAATTGGTTGGGATGCGATGATTAGAGTTGAATCAAGTAAGAGGAATCATCCGGCGGCGAGGTTGATGTCGGCGTTGATGGATTTGGAGCTGGAGGTGAATCACGCGAGTATGTCGGTGGTTAACGATTTGATGATTCAACAAGCGACGGTGAAGATGGGATTTAGGATCTATACGCAGGAACAACTCCGAGCAAGTTTGATTTCAAAAATCGGTTAAAAGGGTATGTTTTGAAATTTTAGAAAGTTATGGGGTCAAATCATAATTAATTCGTTTTAGTGGCTTCAGTAATTTTGTAGATTTAGTTTTGTTGTAAGAAAAATCTTAAAATAGAGCGACAAGTTTCTTTTGCTCTATGTTGAGTCTTATATCGTTATTGTTGTATCATCCAATGTGTAAACGTGTACATATTGATATGAATAATATGTGTTAGTTACTGCAAATTGATTTCTACACAATTTTAGATGATAAAAAGAAAAAAAAATCGAGTAAAATGGTCTAAAATAAGAAATTAATGATCATGATCACTGATTTGTAAATATGGTCAACAATGTCTCTCCTAACACATCAATCATAAGAGAGACAAATCTTAGGTAAGTTTAGTCGTGAGGGAGACATACCTTGAATCAGCTAAAGGAGAGACATTGTTGACCATATCAACCTTAGGGGTGTGGGAGTGATGATCACAAATCGAAGAACGAATTTTTGATTTTTTTTGTTGTTGTTGTGATGTTTGAAACATGTACGCGGAGAAGATGAATGCTGTGTTCGCAGTTTTGGCGCTGTGTCATTTATCGGTGATGTTGTATCCTCTAAAGTTACACTGGACAAAACACACATAAAAACTTAGTATACTACATGGATCTTCGAATACACAAGAGTCACAGACAAGGAAGAGCAAATCACTTGCTTTTGCCTTGATCATTTCCATATACAAAAACAGAACTATTGAAAAGATTTTTAATCTCAAATCTGTTTTGCTAGTGGATTCTCATCCTCAACAACTTCGCAAGATACTCTAGCAACCTGACCAAACCAATCCTCAAGAATCAAGTTTTCTTCTTTCTAGCTTCAGCTTTCCAATCTCTTCCATGCCGCCTTATCTTCCATTTAAGCGACTCACAAGAACCATCTTGAGCCTTGTTCATAAACAAATGAGCTCTTCTAGCTTCTTTTTTCCAATCTCTATCGCAATAAACACGCTGCACAAAGTTCTCAACATAACCACTAGGTCCACTAAACTCTAGTTCCTCTTCTTCTTCCTGTTGTCCCATTGTCTCAAACGAAAGATTCTCATCGATACCCGCTTCTTCTTCCCGCATCCGTTTCCTCGCTCTATACCTACGTTGTCTTTCTCGATTCTTCATTCGACGGAGCAAGACTTCATCTTTGTCTATCAACCCTTCTTTCTCATCAATGCTCAAACCACCATTACTCATCTCTCCTTCAATTCCCATTACTCAAAACACTGATAAAAACGAAAACCAAATTCTATAAGACTACAAAAGGTAATGCATTTAAAGGAAAGAATCTAAACTTTACAAAACCCTAGAAACTTAATTCAAAAAGCTAAAGGCACAAAACAGTAACACACATAAAAATGTAAACTTCTCACTAGAGGAAGACCACATTAGAGATTCGTTAATAGCAATCAACCAGAAATATAAGACTTCCAAAGAATCAAAATTAGCAAAATCGATAATCTAAAAAATGAAAGATTGAGTTTTTTTTCTTTGCTTTCAAGTTGAGAAAACTAAGAAGTTCGATACTCAAAGAACCTAAATGATTAATTCGATGATTGGGTTAAGAAGCTAAAACCCATAAATTACCAATCTGAGTGATTGATCTATGAGAAGAGAAATCCAAAAAAACGAAAACCAAAATCCATAAAGTTCATACCTTTGAACTTCGGTGAACAAAGAAACTAAAGTAGCGATTGCCTGAGTCGGTTCTCTTCTTGCTCGAGTGGGTTTTCAAGTTTTATGAAGGAGAAAGAGAGAGATTGTTCTTTGTTGTCTAAAAATTGATGAAAAGAGGTATCTTTCTTTCTCCCAGAAGATTTGACTGAGAGACCTTGTAGTAATATTTAGGTATAACTAAGTTTTGTCTGATTTCAACTAACAAATTGGGGTGGTGGCGCAGTTGGCTAGCGCGTAGGTCTCATAGCTACTGAGTGATCCTGAGGTCGAGAGTTCGAGCCTCTCTCACCCCATTTCTTTTGTTCCTTTTTACCATTTCGCTAAAAACTCCATTGATGAAAATTAGGGCTTCTTCTTCAATTCGTCTTCTCTCTGCACCGTATTTAGTGGAAAAACTGAGATATCTGACCTAATCATCGTTTCTTCAGGTGAAAGGCGTTAACTTCTTGCTCTTCTTCTCTCACTATTATCGTTTCTCCGACCGATTTGCTGGATAGTGACGTAATGTGATAGTTGCCTTCGATTTTTAGATGCTTATGAGTTGGGAACACTATCAGATTCGATTTAAGATACATAATTGGATAAAGGGTAATCTCTAGATTCACTAATTTAGTGTTTTTGGCTGTGAAAGAGTGAGTTTTTAGCTGATTCAGGACAGAGTTACTTGCTTACTCTGTCCCTCTTTGAAGCTCAGAATTTGTGGGTTTAGTCTTTTGTGAGATGGATAGGCCTTGTTGGCATAATGATCAGTTAGGTGTGAATAAGATTGGGAAGAACATAAAGAAGAGTCCTTTACACCAACCCAATTTCTCAATTGGTATTGATCCCTTGATGCTTCAACCGCAACCACAGGGTTATAACATAAGCAAGAATGGTTTTAGAAGTATTGTTCAACAGCTAACGGGTTCTCGGTCGCATGAGAGTTTACCTCAGCCTCAGCAGAATACTCGGTTGCAGAAGATTGGACCAGTGGCTCAAATACAGATAAACCGGCCCTGTGTTCCTCCTCCTGTTATGGCTCAACCAACTCATGAGTTAGTTGCTAGACCACCAATGCATCCTTTGCCACACGGTTCACAATCAATTATGGGTCATGGAGACCAATTTGGGTCTAATACAGCTGAGTCTTCTGCCTCGGCGTTTATGTGTTATCGTCAAAGCTCACTAGGAGATTCAGGACCTAATGGTAACCAAATGCAGCCAACTGATGAGTATCAACAGCAGCCACAGGTGCAAGGTCAAGCTCAACCGCACCCACTACTACAATTGCATAATCATCATTCGTTACGGTTCAATGGTTCTGCGCGAGACACACCCATTTTGCCAACTCCTAAGTTCGACAGTCCGCCACAACAGATGTATAATAGTAGTCTTCCTTCTCCTAGATTCAACGGTCGTGGGATATTACCCACTCCTACGTCCCAATATCTTGTACAATCTCCAACTACGTACCAAAATTTGCTCTCCCCTAGGCCACCTTATTCGCTGCTATCTGCAGGAGTTCAATATCCTCCACCACTAACACCAAGAAGTTATACATTCTCATCAATGTCTCAACCTGGAATTCTCGGTCCAGGCACAATTCCTCTGCCTCCTGCATCTCCATTTGGGGTTTTACCAATCTCTAGTCCAAGATGGAGAGGTTACTGAAGATGCACCATCATCTTAACTTGACTCTTTAGTTTAGTGTTTGTGCACTATGAAAGTTGCAATCTTTCAGAGCTTATAGGTTACAGGAGTACAGAGCTGTAAAAACAATACTTTTGAGATTCTCAGAAGTAAGAAGAGCTTTGTTTGGCTGGAATTTGGTAGAAATAAGTTTGTGTTAAGTAGTTTCATACATTTTCATCTTCATATCGACATATCGCTTAAACTCTTTACGTAAGTTTACTACTCATACTTCCCAACACTTTCAAACGATCGACTAGAAAATGGAACTTTAATGAACTCGTTCTGTTCCTTATTGTACACCAAAACCTTGTCCTCTTCTTCTTCACTAAGAGATCGTACGACTATGAAGATTTCATTGTTTCTTGCTATGCATGCAAACCTAATATCAACGGGTTCTTCATCATTTCCCGCTATATTCATCCACGGGTCACTGTCCCATCTTACAATCTTCAAACCGCTTCTAATTTCTCGGCGACATACACATAAATTGTCTTCTAGACTTGGGTAGTGACTGATAACGCACAGTTGTCCCCTTGAAACATCTAACCATGAATTGAACTCCAATCCTGAGAGCATCATGGGAACTTTTAGGTTTGAGTACTCTTCATTAACGAAATCAAAGCATAAGATGGATTTTTCCTTGTTGGACCGGTCTGCTATCCAATACATACAATGGTCCAATACCGTACCGGTCCGATCTTTGAAGAAGCAATCTTTAAAGCGAAATTGATATGCTTTCTCTCCAAGAACATTCTTTGAACCTAAAGATATAGGTTTTCTGGTCGATAATCGTCACAATTTTGTAATCATTAGAAACCCGATCATAACCGAATCCCAAAAGATTTTTGGTTTGACCCGGTTTAATCATCGGTACTCTCTTGAAATTTTTAGAAGTAGGTTTCCAAATGGCTAACTCATTGTTGTCTTTGAGGGTGAGACACATCATTCCATGGCAATGAAGGATACAGACCGGTTCGGTTTGAGGCGGTAATGTAAAGGGCAAATCAAGCTTCAGAGACGTGGTTTTGTTAAGGTCGAGAAGGTATAAACCATCTTTGTGCAATGAAATGAGCTGAGAGGATGATTGTTGATTCGACATTGGAAAAATGATCAAAACAAGATATGTTTTGGTGATTTTTGGGGAAAAGGATAGATCTTATAATTATGGGACAACGAAGTTTTATTGAGAGCGTGCTTACATAGTTATTGCATCATAATTTTCTGGAATACGAAATTTAACACACTACTTATAGTTATAAATATGTTCGAAACACATATTATGTGTACGACCAAGACATGTACTTGTATAACATCTATGTCGACATATAATACTTATCCACTATGATTGTGCATAATGAAGAATTGTTCACACTTTTCATTGGACTTACGAATTACGATACATACGTCTCTGAACCGTTAACATTAGTGTTAACTATAATTCATATCACCAAAAAGATACTTCCGATATTAGTATTACTCATTTTATTCAAAAATGATAGATTTTTGGTCGTTATAATTATCTTAAAAGGAAAATTTAAGTTGTTACATGGAAACATATTTTTGTATTAAACAATGATATCATATGCAAAAAAAGATATTAAATGCGAAAAATCTTATAAATAAGAGTTTAAGGTGTTAAAGGAATCTACATTCTACATGATATCTCTAATTGTATGAAAATTTTGTTACTAAGATCATTTTATAATCTCTAAAACATATCTAGGATAGTAATGAAAGAAAAAAAAAATCATATAAAAAGAAAATAGATCGGAGAACATATAGAAATGAGATAAAGATAGAAAGTTTTCATAAAAGTAAAGAGATACTTCTAAGTTCTATCTCACTATTAACACTATCATATCTTTCTATATTCCATGAAAATACCTTCCATTCAAATTGAAAATAAAAAATAGAAAATAGGAAGATACACATACATAATGACATGTAAATACATATATTCTACTTTCTATGGAAAAGAATGCAAAACAATTTTAAAAGGACAATATCCTTGTATTAAAGTTGGATGCATCTTATTATTGAAATAAATCAAGAACTAAATTGGAAACAAATCAGGAATTTAAAATGAATAAGGAACCGTTGTATATATGTGTAAAATTATTATATATCTCGTGAAGCTTCCTAGCTTAACTAGTGACACTTTCTTCTTGTTAAACAATGTATCAGCGACCACAAAATGATTACTTGAGAGTGAAGCGGAGGAGCAACTTCGACCAACTAAACGCTGACTATAACACTGTACCTCAGCCAGCGCAACCACAACCGCGAGTGCAAGTGTACATCATAGACAAGAACGACTTCAAAAGCCTTGTTCAACAACTAACGAGTTCTCAATCATGTGACCGTTTACCACAAAACATTCCAAATCATCAAGATATTAGACCAGAGCCGATAAACCGGACCTCATCGATTCCTCCCAGTGCCATGGCGGGTCAAGAGGATCCCGATGTCTCGTTGTATATGCGTTATCTTCAAAGCTTACTCGAAGAATCATCAGGATCTAATGGAGACCAATTTGAACAATCACTTGATGAGTATCATTCTTATATGATGGCTCAATCTCATTCGCAACCTCAAGATCCTACACAATCAATGCCACAGTCCAATGGTTTTGAACCTTTTCCCTCTTCCTGGTTCAATGGCTCGCCCCAACAAATGCAAGATGCTTCCTCATTGCAATCAACAAGAGTTGAGTATCCTCAACCACTGACTCCAAACTTCACATTTTCATCTATGACTCAACCTGGAGGTTTTGGTCCGGATCTAGATTGTATTGGTCCTGATGAGATTTTTGAATTTTCATACGAAATAAATTGATAATTTATTTTTCAATCGTTAAAATAAATTTCAAATATATTGTTTCCATGATTTCAAATATCATAAAAATCATAATAAATTTTAATTCTTGAATATAAGCTTTAGTTTGGATGGTACTCACTATGAAGTTTTGTTTTGGCTTATCATTAAATTAATAAACTCTTTCTTGAAAATAACATTAGCAACATTTTTCAACTACTACATGAAGTTAGAATCTAATCCACTACATGAAGTACAATACCAAAATACAGTTTTCTAAAATCAGAAGCAAGAGACTGAAGCAACAGAGAGGGGGTAAGAGAAGCTGTTAGCATATTGAAAGGAGAGTGTCTGTCCAGGACCAAGAGGTTGACCGTCGTTAACCAGACAATCGTCGTAGTCGAGTCGCCTGAAAACTCGAGGGTTAACCAGTCTGACCGAGCTGAACCAGCCACAACTGACGTGGATCTCTGCGATATTGCAATCGGAGACACAAGAGTTGAAGATCTCAACTGTATATGAAGGAACTCCACTTGGAAGTGGATTTGTTGAGCCTTGAAAGAGAACAATATCATCTTTTGAGCAATCTTGTCCAATCCTGTTGGTCCCATCCCCAATGTCTGAAAATGTGTCTTTAAGGTTCTTAATACAAAAAAACAGAGAGATTGATCTTTTGATTGATATGTGAAGCTAAACAGTGTCTATGAGGAAATATGATGAACACAAGTCAGAAAATGTGTCTTTAGGGTTCCTAAAACATAACAACAGAGACTGATCATAGAACATGCGAAGCCAAACAGTGTCTACGAAGTACCGGGAGAGAGTAGTAGCTTTCTGGGAAGAGCGGTGCGGTTTTCGTTAATGCTTCTTCCATCATTAGAACCTTTGAAGCCGTTGGCCTTCACAGCTGCAACATTGACAATATTCAAATATGGAATTGGTTTATAGCATAAGATAATAAGAAGAAGAAAAAGAGAGAGAAAGAGAAGGATATTATAGACAAGAACTTACACAGAGCAAGAGACAAAAGACCTATGAAGAAGAGCCAATGTTGGAATTGGTAGAGATGTTCCATTCTCTTGCAGTAGCCAAAAGATGTGGAGGCTTTTTCTCTATTCTAGTAGATGGAGAGTTTTTTTATAGAGGTATAATACACATGCATGGTGGAGAGTTGAGAAGAAACTTAAGAAATGGAAGTTTGTGATTGCATGCATGTCTGCTGTTTCCATAAGGGTATGGACCAATACCCTTTTTCAATCTCAAAATCTATCTACCTCGAGATTCAGACAAACATAACTATTACCAAAATTTTGTTAAAAGTTTTGAAAAAAGGGGCTGACAAAAGGTGGTTGAGCCATTAATTAAACAGAGTATCATAAGTCCCTTCATTAGGAAAGCAACCTTGCTTACAAAAAGTAGAGAATTATAACACTTTGATAAGTAATAAGTCAACCAAGTTTCAACGTTTTCCAACAATCTTTAATAATGGAGAGTTGAGAGCATTGTAACATATTGCAAGTACACTAACTGGTCTAAGTCTATGCTTTGGTTTGGATAATGATGATTTTCTAGTACTCACTCTATCACTTTGTTTGGATCATCTTAAAAATTGTTTATCCCACACTTATCAATACATAGAGAATACAAAAAATTCAAACTCAGCAACAAGAAGATAAGGTCTCACACATATCTTGACTTTCTACACAAACACCTAGATAGTTGGAGAAGTTTCATGACAGTCAGATTTCCCACAGACTATGTTTGATCACTTGTACAAGACCAATCTACGGTGGAAAGCAATCTTATTCCATAGATACATGTAAAGACTGAATTAGAACATATATGAACACAGTTACAACTTCAAAGTTTTGGTATACAAATGGATAGTGAATCATAGGGTTCCAACTTCCAATATATGGTAGGAACTAGGATGGGAGACGCCTGAAACCTTGCTCGGGTTCTAAAGCATCTGTTCCTAGACAAACCAGCTGACTCATTTTGATGCAGTATGTTGTTGTAACAATAGGCAACACTCTTTAGAAGGAGAGACTACAAAATAAATCGCAAGCATCTTCCATTTTAACAGCTTTCAATGTTCAATGCTGGTAAGGTGGAAGATGCATGGGATTTATTTAGTTGTTTCCCTTCAATTTCTCTAATCCCTGACCCAAGAAGACAGCAGACCATAAGGCTGAGAATTCCTGCATGACAAACCCACAAAGAGATGATAGTATATACTAAAACCAAGAATCCATTTCACTTAAGTTTTCTCTACCTTACCATTATCACATTAACCATCCAACAAAATGCTCTAGATCCTAATACCAAGAAGCAACTACAAGAAGAACTATCCAACAAAAGAATTATAATTTTCTCTTTAAGAGTTGCAAAATCCATTCATGAGATTATTATAAGTCACTTCGTTTGGGAAACAAAACTTTTGCATACCAAATGTAGTGACTTATAATACTCTCATAAACAATCTTCAACATCTTCCTAAGAACAATTAAAGAATATACCTTTTGGTCGTTGACACAGATTGCCATCGCCCTGGATCGAGTTTTTGCTTCAAGCTGATTGGTATTGGAATCAAATCCTCTGTTTCGTGAGTAAACTAACTCTGTACGGCGTACTCTAATAGAGTTTGTTGAGTGGAGGAGAAGAGAGTTATTTTATAGGCTACGTAACGAAACCGGTTAAGCGACGGATTAAACTTCTCAATCCGGTTTAGTAAAATCATCGGAAATAACCGGTGTTCACTAAATATACGAAGGACTTATTAGTAATTTGGATATAAGAGTTGTAAATATTTATTTTCATAATTCGAAACAAACATCCTTCAAAGGTCAAATTATGTATATGTAATAATAATAGTTTCATCAAATTCCAAGTTCTAATAAAACCAAACTACAAAGCCATTACATAAGGAGAACTCAAAATAGAAAACAAGCTCTGTTGCTTGCAGACACACTAGCATAGATTTTGATTCAACGCATGTTCTCTCTCCTTCGGACATATCTGGTCTTGTCGTGGTACTTTGGTTTATCATTGCTTCTCTGGGTCGTTAACTCTATGATCTTTCTCTGTCTCTCTGGAGGTCGTTGGACTATTTCCCCATTCACAAACAGCTCAGCTGCAATACCGTAGAAGAAGTGAGCTTACCAAGTTAATTTACCAAACTGAAACCTAACCTACACGTTATATTCAAACACTGAAGCTAACGACAAAAAGCTCAGCTGCAATACGTTAGAAGAAGAATTTGATTACGAAGTGAGTTTAAGAAGTAAACCTAAACAGAGATGCTAGTTTAAAGATTAAACCCTCAAGCTACATCTATCAAACAAACAGACGAATGCTTGGTGTCGAAGATGATATTGAAGGCTGGAATCAAAAAGCTCATGGAACACACAAAGGTGGCACAAAACAAGATTCTAATGTCTAATCGAGGAGAAATCGAATTCTAGTTCTAAGCTTAGTCTTGATCGATTATGACACAGAACAGAACAAACAGAGAACTTCGAAACATAGATTGTGTAAAAGCAAACACAAACAACAGAGTTAACATTAAACTCACCTCCGTAATCTTTGTTCTCTTGATCAACATAAGAGTCTGGTAAAACGAAAAGAACACCAGGAAGTCCTGAAAACACACACAACAATCAACAACCATCCATTACATCGCCAACGTCACGATTTGGTAATGAAATGTGTTTCAGAAACATTACCTTCGAATTTATTTGATGTCTCTTCATCAATCTCACAACCAAATCCAAAATACCTTTCACACGATACATTATATATCTTCTTCTTAGCTTCTTCCTCACTGATTAAAACAACAACAAGAGCAATTACATTAACTAAATACTTCTTCTAACTAACGAATCGACGAAATCGAAAGAAACCCTAACCTGCCGAGAATTTTAGCTAGGGTTTGAACATAACAATCAATCATTTGTTGCTTCGTAGCGTTTTCGCCTCCAGGTTTGTCCATTACAATAAGCCAATGCTCATAATCACAGCCAGGAAACAACGGCGCCATCTCTGTAGGTGGTCGGTCGCTGAAATTCGAACCGGATTTGAGTGGAGAGTATGATCCACCGGACCTGTCCATTCGAGTTCGAATCGTTGTGAGACGATTCAAGGAAGAGACGAATCCGACGGCATGGGAGATTGCTGGGGTTGATCTACGGGAGAGGAGGTAAGAAGGGGAAGGAGTGGTGGCTCCGGAGGTGGAGAAGAAGCGCTTGGTGATGCGTGACGCGGTGGAGCGAGCTAGGGTTTTCGCCATTGAAGCTCAGTGAGGTGTCAGAGTCTGAGAAATGAACTAGACTAGGGTTTAAGTGAAAACCATCGAAATGGTTAAATCAGATGGTTCTTTAATTAATGGGCCAATGGGCCGAATCTTTTACCACAAGTAAAATAAAGTCTTAAAGGTTAGAAATGAAACAATTTGTTGAGAAATGAAGTATCTCTAATTAAAAAAATTTAATACGAATCTAGGCATACAAATTATTAATAGTAACATTTTCTGAAAATTTTGTTACCTAAAATATTATATTGATAACATATTTTAACTACTGATATTTTGATAAATTCAGTTTAACTTTAAAATACTACTTCACATACATAAATATGTTTACTTAATATGACTCAAAAAGAAGAACAAAGACCTTCATATTAGGAATTTTTGTGGTCATACTAAAACTTTGAATAGTGGAATAGTATGCTGCAGACCGGACTAAAATCGGATCAGTTCGCACTTAATTCATCATTCACTATTCTAGACTAGTATGCATTGTTGCAGACCAAAATCTTCCTACTAATATGTACTTGAGCATACTTCTCCATACCATCATAAATTTACCATCGGTCTGCATTTTTTCATTTCACTCCCCAAAAGCTCCATACCAACATAAACTCTATATCAGCATACAATTGTCTGCTCCATATTACAGTCTGATATTTTGCATACTAAAATATTGGTATGCATTATCCAGTCTGCATCATATAAATTAGGGTTTTGTGCAAAAAAACCCTAAAAGTCACCAATTTTTGCAACTTTATCCTCCACCTCCAAAAAATGCAGAATAATCCTATGAAATTCAAAGTCAATTTCGTTTGCAAGTTTACCCTCCAAGTCCGAATTATGCAAGTCAACCCCACAATCTCAAAAGTCACCCGCAATATTGCTCTCCCATGTAGCGATGATGTGGCACTCGATAACTCCGTTTGAAAACATAATAGGGTTTTTGCAAAAAAAACCTCCATGTAATTTTTTTTTTTGCAATACAAACCTCCATGTCAAATAAATGCAGGTCAAACCACAATCTCAAAAGTCACCTGCAATATAGCCCTTCCGTATATCGATGACGTGGAAATCGATAACTCATTTTATGTAATATAGAAATATCTTGCATCTCGAGCCTCAACTAGGTTAATTTCTCCATTATATGCTTCTTCCCATCACTTCCCCTCTGTGGCCTGCGGTAGGCTATCCCCCTTCACTCCCAGCCTTCAATTTTATTTTACACCCTTGTGATAAATCACGTTATAGTCCCCCCCCCGCATTCT